TGGCTGATGATCCAATGAGTGTGCAGAACGCCTTCCAGAACCGGGACTAGAACTGAGGACCACTGGAAATCCATGGATCCGGAAAACGTGCTGCACCATGAGCTGGGCCGTCTCCTTGGCAGACGGTAGCTTGGGGAGGGGAATGAAATGGGTGGCTTTGGAAAACCTGTCCACCACTGTGAGGATAGTGGTGTTGCCATCAGATGGAGGGACACCAGTGACGAAGTCCAGGGATATGTGTGACCAGGGACGGTGAGGGACAGGAAGAGGTTGAAGGAGGCCAACCGGAGCTTGCCGAGGAGTCTTGTTCTGATCACAGGAGGCGACGAACGCGGAGACGTCAGGGACCATGGTGGACCACCAAAAGTGCTGTCGCACAAAGGCCAGGGTGTGACGGGAGCCAGGGTGGCAGGCAAGCCTGGAGGAATGAGCCTATTCCAGGACCGGGGAGTGGGCCACGTCTGGGACAAACATCCGTTTAGCCGGGCCCCCTCACGGACCTGGTTCTCTATTCCCCAGATGAGTGTAGCCGCCAGACACGAGGTAGGAAGGATGGTCTCGGGGTTCGAGGGTGTAGCAGCAGGGCTATAGCGGTGTGAAAGCGCATCCGGCTTAACATTCTTGGACCCCGGGTGGTAGGAGATGGTAAAGTTGAACCGGGTGAACAGCAGGGCCCATCGAGCTTGTCTGAAGTTGAGACGCTTGGCGGTGCGGAGATATTCCAGGTTCTTGTGATCCGTCCACACAATGAATGGAAGTTCCGCCCCCTCTAACCAGTGCCTCCACTCCTCCAATGCCATCTTCACCGCGAGTAGTTCTCGATTCCCCACATCATAATTCCTCTCTGTGATGATGATGGGAGAAGAAGGTGCAGGGATGCAGCTTAAGGTCCAGGGCAGAACACTGGGACAGGACAGCCCCCAAGCTGACATCCGAAGCGTCTACCTCCACCATGAACTGACGGGACGGGTCCGGATGGATTAATATGGGCGCTGTGGTGAAGCGCTGCTTAAGGTCCAGGAACGCCTGGTCAGCAGCTGGGGACCACATGAACGGTGAGTGCTGAAATGGGGGAAGCCAGGGTGATGTAACCCCGGGTAAAACGGCGATAGAAATGGGAAAATCCTAAGAAGCGTTGCAGCTGCACACTGGATGTGGGTTGGGGCCAATCCACCACCACTCTCACATTTCCGGAGGGCGCAGGGTTTTGTCCCTCTTCTCCACAAAGAAGAACCCTGCGCCGGCGGGGGAGACAGAAGGACAGATACACCTGCAGCCAGGGAATCCTCGATATATATGTCTCCATAGCCTTGATCTACAGACCCGACAGTGAATACAGCCGTCCCCGGGGTGGTGTAGTGCCTGGGAGAAGGTCGATCCCACAGTCATAGGGTCGATGCGGAGGAAGCTAAGTGGCCCGGGCCTTGCTGAAAAACTCCCGGAGGTCCTGGTACTCCGTGGGAACGGCGGAGGGTCAGAGGCTTCTTCCGAGCCCACAGGAAGACGTCCCGGGGCAGGCTGCGCCGACTTCAGGCAATGGGTGTGGCAGAACAGGATCCAGCCCATGATAGCACCAGCAGTCCAGTTGATAAGGGCATTGTGTCGCTGGAACCAAGAAAACCCCAAAACCACGGGAACATGAGGAGACTTAATGAGCGTGAACTGCATCGACTCACTGTGGTTTCCTGACACTTGCAGGTTGATAGGAGTAGTATTGTGGGTGACCCATCCAGCACTCTAACGTCCATGGCAATGGAGAGGGGCTGAGTGGGGATGCCCAGCTCTGACACCAGGGTAGCGTCCATGAAACTCTCATCGGTCCCAGAGTCAATGAAAACCCGGAGAGATTTCGACTGGTCGCCCCACAGCAGGATGGCATGGAGAGGGGTGCGAGGAAGGGGAGAAGGGAAATTCTCCGTATTGTCTTTTAATGGACAGGTAGACACGTAATGACCGGTAGTCCCGCAATACAGACAACTCTTGGTGTTAAGTCTTCGTAAATGTTCAGCTGGAGACAGCCTAGCTCTGCCGAGTTGCATCGGCTCCGGAAGAGGCGAGTCGGCAGACCTCGGAGACTTCTGGGATTCCTCGGAGGCGAGGTGGGATCCTTGGGCGAGCAAGTGGGACCGGAATCAGACCTCCTCTACCTCCTATGTTCCCGTAGCCGCCCATCAATCCGGATGGTCAAGGCGATGAGCGAGTCGAGATCCGTAGGCAGCTCCCAGACTGCGAGCTCATCTTTAACCTCCTCCTATAATCCATGAAGGAACGCGTCGAACAGGGCTTCCGGGTTCCAGGCACTCTCAGCCGCCAACGTGCAAAAATCCATTGCGTAAGCTGCCACACTACAGGAGTCTGACGTAGTTGGAGCAGCTTACGAGCCGCCTTTCTCCTGGACAACGGAGAATCAAACACTTTACGTACCTCCGCTACGAATTCCTCCAGACTGAGGCAAACGGTGGATTGTTGCTCCCACACCGCTGCAGCCCAGGCGAGAGCCCTCCCAGACATCAGCGTTATCAAGTACGCTATCCTCGAGCGATCCGAGGGAAATTAAGAGGGCTGCAGCTCAAAGATGAGAGAACGCCCGGCAGGATCCTGGATCTCCAGCATAGTGGTCCGGAGGAGGTAAGCAGGGTTCTCGGGAAGCCGGGGTAGATTGGGAAGAGGTGCCGCTGGTAGCTGGGTAACTGACAGTCTGGGGGGTTACTGTGGTGACGGGCTGCCTAACAGACAATCTGCGGAATTGCTCCAGCAATGTATGGAAGGCCCAGTCATGGTGTTCCGCCAAGGTCTGGAATCCTTCCATAAGACCTTGAAGTAACTCCTCGTGTCTTCCAATGGTGGCTCCTTGGGAAGAGACAGCGTTGCGGAGCTGATCCGAGTCTGCTGGGTCAGTCATGGTATAAATGCACAGGTATAACTCCACAGGGAATAATGGGGAAAATTAGCAACACCTGGAGGGGTGTGGAGACAAGCACAAGACAGGTGATACAGATCAGGGTGTGACAAATACGTATTCAACACCTTTGTTATTGCAAGCCTAAGTTCAGGAATAAAAATGTGCTCAACAAGTCACATCATAAGTTGCATGGACTTTGTAACATGATTTTGTAACGACTACCTCATCTCTGTACCCCACACATACAATTATCTGTAAGGTTCCTCAGTCGAGCAGTGCATTTCAAACACAGATTCAACCACAAAGAGCAGGGAGGTTTTCCAATGCCCCTTTGTGAAGTTATTAATTACACTTTAGATGGTGTATCAATACACCCAGTCACTACAAAGACACAGGCGTCCTTCCTAACTCAGTTGCCGGAGAGGAAGGAAACCGCTCAGGGATTTCACCATGAGGCCAATGGTGACTTTAAAACAGTTACAGAGTTTAATGGCTGTGATAGGAGAAAACTGAGGATGGATAATCAACATTGTAGTTACTCCACAATACTAACCTAATTGACAGAGTGAAAAGAAGGGAGCCTGTACAGAAAAAATGAGGCAAAGCAATGAACTTTTGGTCCTGAATACAAAGTGTTATGTTTGTGGCAAATCCATTACAACACATTACTGAGAGTCACTCTCCGTATTTATATTTAGTGGTGGCTGCATCATTTTATGTGTATGCTTGTAATTGTTAAGGACTGGGGAGTTTTTCAGGATAAAAAAGAAACGGAATGGAGCTAAGCACAGGCAAAATCTTAGAGGAAAACCTGGTTCAGTCTGCTTTCCACCAGACACTGGGAGAGGAATTCACCTATCAGCAGGACAATAACCTAAAACACAAAGCCAAATCTACACTGGAGTTGCTTACCAAGAAGACAGTGAATGTTCCTGAGCGGTCGAATTCGAGTTTTTACTTCAATCTACTTGACAATCTATGGCAAGACCTGAAAATGGTTGCTAGCAATGATCAACAACCAATTTGACAGAGCTTGAACAATTTAGAAAATAATAATGGGCAAATGTTGCACAACCCGGGTATGGAAAGCTCTTAGAGACTTACCCAGAAAGACTCACAGCTGTAATCGCTGCCAAAGGTGCTTCTGCAAAGTATTGACTCAGGAGTGTGAATACTTACGTAAAAAATATATTTCTGTATTTCATTTTGTTTTATTATTCAAAGATTTCAGATTTTTTGTTTTCACTTTGTCACTATGGGGAATTTTGTGTAGATGGGTGAGGGGGAAAAAAACTATTTAATAAATGTTGAATTCAGGCTGTAACATGACAAAATGTGGAATAAGTCAAGGGGTATGAATACTTTCTGAAGGCACTGTATGAAACTTCGATAAGCTTGAAATTATAGTTTGTAAACTTGATACACAGACAATTAATGCAATATCTACTATATTTAAACTGAATATATAAATATATAAATTGAATATTCAATTAAATTAAAATACTGTATCATTTTTAAACTGATTGCAATATTCATTCAATTATGTTTCAAATCATGAAATACAAGTTACATTGATGAATTCAATGATTCTATTTGTGTATTACACATTTTAAAATATTACATTCAAATTCAATACCCTAATACAAATTCAAAATTATGGAATTCAAATACAATTTCTGTTGCCACTGAAATCGCTCCATACGTTCAGCTGGAGGACACGACGTTGTGCAACGTTCAGATAGAAATACAGCTTGTAGAACAAACACCCCTCTCTGGCATGTAGAATAAGGAATTGTATCAGCTCTATTCATGACAGTTCCACAATGTTAGCCTGCTGAACATGGCCCTGATAAAGGATTGGGCGTCATTAGTAAAAAATTCCCCAGAGTTTTCCAAATAAAAGAAAATACACCTACTGTACGGCGATATGCAGGAAAGATTTTACTGGAAAGGGATTGCTATTAACTCTATAATGACTAGGTGGAATAATGGTTTAATCTTTGATTTATTTCCTGGTCTTATTCAAAGCAGGTGGGTCAGAGTAGGGTATATAAGACCAGATACAACGGCAGTTCAGTGAATTGTCCTGTGATTCTGCCACACTCTCTCTCTCTCTCTGTCGCTGTCTCTCATTCAGACTGGTGAGCAGGGAGCATGGTTCCTCCAGGGTGGATTTTGGTAGCTGTCTTGCATTCTCTTGTTTCAGGTACAGTAGGTGTTCTTTGAAACTTGACTGACTAGGTTTTTTAATGCATTTTATGCATTTTTATTCTGCATTTTTATTCGGATTAACTGATTGTCCCCACAGCAAATGTATATATGGTGAAATGTGTTATTACTGTACAGAATTGTACTCCATTTTGCATATGGATAGGCTGACATATTAATATTTTGTTATTTCTAGTTCTAGGCCCAGTTGGTTCTGTTTCAACCTCTGATACCCATCAAAGTAAGTCAAGTACCTTCCTCTAAATTACATATACATAGAGGGCCAGTTTCCCAGACACAGATTAAGCCTAGGCACGGACTAAAAAGCTCTTTCATTGGAGAATCTCCACTGACAATTATTTTTTGTCTTGGACCAGACTTAATCTGTGTCTGGTCCAGGCAACTCTGCCACTTTTCAACCTCATATTCATTATCTCCAGCACCAAACCAGTGTCTACATATGTGAAGACGGAAAGTTTCTATGATCTGTGGTTAAAAAGATAGTGTAAGAAGAAAGGTCCTAAAAATGCTTCAAAGGGTAGGATTACAAGTAAGAAAAACAGTGATTTTTAAAACCTGCTGTATTTTCTTGCTTCCTACGTCATCGTGAATCTCATAGTGTTTGAAAATCACTGTTTTTAAAACTTTAGATTGCTCATATGTTTACATATATTTAAATATATGTACATAAATATATGGACATATTACAAAATTTGTTTTTCTGCTGATATATTTCAATACATGGTGTGGAAATACATTTTGACAGCATGCTGTGGTAGCTAGTAAAATATATTCCAAAATATATTTCATAAATATACAGTACCAGTCAAAGGGACACACCTACTCATTCAAGGGTTTTTCTTTATTTTTACTCTTTTCTACATTGTAGAAAGAGTAAAAGACATCAAAACCGTGAAATAACACATATGGAATCATGTAGTAACCAAAAAAGTGTTAAACAAATATATTTGATATTTTAGATTCTTCAAAGTAGTCACCCTTTGCCTTGATGACAGCTTTGCACAATCTTGACATTCTCTCAACCAGCTTCACCTGGAATGCTTTTCCAAATCAAATCAAATGTTATTTGTCACATACAAGTGTTTAGCAGATGTTATAGCGGGGTGTAGCGAAATGCTTGTGCTTCTAGCTCCGACAGTGCAGTAATATCTAACAAGTAATATCTAACAATTTCAAAACATATACCCAATACACACAAAACTAGTAAGGAATGGAATTTAAGAATATATACATATATGAACAAGCAATGACAGAGCGGCATGGACTAAGATACAGTAGAATATTATAGAATAGAATACAGTATATACATATGAGATGAGTAGTGCAAGATATGTAAACATTATTAAAGTGACTAGTGTTCCATTTCTTAGTGGCCAGTGATTTCAATAGGCAGCAGCAGCCTCTAATGTGCTAGTGATGGCTATTTAACAGTCTGATGGCCTTGAGATAGAAGCTTTTTTTCGTTGTCTCTGTCCCAGCTTTGATGCACCTGTACTGACCTCGCCTTCTGGATGATAGTGGGGTGAACAGGCAGTGGCTCGGGTGGTTGATGTCCTTGATTATATTTTTGGCCTTCCTGTGACATCGGGTGCTGTAGGTGTCTTGGAGGGCGGGTAGTTTGCCCCCTGTAATGCGTTCGGCAGACCGCACCACCCTCTGGAGAGCCCTGCGGTTGTGGCCGGTGCAGTTGCTGTACCAGGCGGTGATACAGCCCGACAGGATGCTCTCAATTGTGCATCTGTAAAAGTTTGTGAGGGTTTTAGGTGCCAAGCCAAATTTCTTCAGCCTCCTTGTCATGATCGTCTAAGGAGGGAGAGGACCAAGGCGCAGCGTTGAAAGCAAACATATTTATTTTATCAAGATCACACGATCAAAACAACGAAACGTGACGTCCTTGGTTACAAAAACAAACCAACACGGAACAAGAAACCACAACACAAAGTGAAAAGACCGATAGTTAAATATGGCTCCCAATCAGAGACAACCAGCTGTCACTCGTTGCCTCTGATTGGGAGTCACTCAGCCCAACATAGAAAATCAAACATAGAATACACACCCTGGCTCAACATAACATTGTCCCCAGAGCCAGGGCGTGACAGTACCCCCCCTAAAGGCACGGACTCCGACCGCGCCAACTAAATCCCACAGGGGAGGGACCGGGTGGGCACTCCGCCTTGGCAGCGGATCCGGCTCCGGGTCTGATCCCCACTCCCTCTCCAACCCCCCAAAGTACCCCTGGTCCGGTCTGGCCCCGCTGGCCGGAGCCGGACTGACGATACGCACCCCTGGCTTGGTGCGTGGAGCAGGAATGGACCGGACTGGGCTGGCGACGCGCACCCCAGACTTGGTGCGGAGAGCAGGAACGGGCCGGACAGGGCTGACGAAACGCACCACAGACTTGGTGCGGAGAGCAGGCACGGGCCGTGCCGGACTGATGACGCACACCACTGGCTTGGTGCGGGGAGCTTGGATGGGCCGGACTGGGCTGGCGACGCACCCCGTAGGCTTGGTGCGTGGAGCAGGGACTGGCCGGGCTGGGCTGGCGACGCACACCGTAGGCTTGGTGCGGAGAGCAGGAACGGGCCGGACAGGGCTGACGAAACGCACCACAGACTTGGTGCGGAGAGCAGGCACGGGCCGTGCCGGACTGATGACGCACACCACTGGCTTGGTGCGGGGAGCTTGGATGGGCCGGACTGGGCTGGCGACGCACCCCGTAGGCTTGGTGCGTGGAGCAGGGACTGGCCGGACTGGGCTGGCGACGCACCCCGTAGGCTTGGTGCGTGGAGCAGGGACTGGCCGGGCTGGCGACGCGCACCGTACACTTGGTGCGAGGGGCTGGAACAGGCCGGACCGTACTGGGGACACACACCACTGGCTCTACCTCGGGATCTGGAACGGGCCGGACCGGACTGGTAACACACCCCAGTACCTCTCGCCGTGCCTCTACATCCTCCATCCCCTCTTCGACCAGTGGCCCCCGTAACCTGGCGGCCTCCTCTGGCAACCCGCTGGGCCGCTCTATCGCGGCCTCCTGCTGGTCCGACGTCGTGAGCCCCCCCCTAAAAATTTTCTGGGGGTCTCTCCTCCCCGTGGGCCAGGCCTCCATCGTTCTCGCCAGACTCTCACCCCACTGCTCCAAAGTCCAACCTCTCTCCTCTTCTCTTGGCTTGGCCCAGTCGAGACTCCTACTCAACTGCTCCCAAGTCCATCCTCTCTCTTCTTCACGCTGCTTGGTCCTGTTATGGTGGTTTCTTCTGTCACGATCGTCTAAGGAGGGAGAGGACCAAGGCGCAGCGTTGAAAGCAAACATATTTATTTTATCAAGATCACACGATCAAAACAACGAAACGTGACGTCCTTGGTTACAAAAACAAACCAACACGGAACAAGAAACCACAACACAAAGTGAAAAGACCGATAGTTAAATATGGCTCCCAATCAGAGACAACCAGCTGTCACTCGTTGCCTCTGATTGGGAGTCACTCAGCCCAACATAGAAAATCAAACATAGAATACACACCCTGGCTCAACATAACATTGTCCCCAGAGCCAGGGCGTGACACTCCTGAGGTTGAAGAGGCTCTGTTGTGCCTTCTTCACCACACTGTCTGCGTGGGTGGACCATTTCAGTTTGTCGGTGATGTGTATGCCAAGGAACTTGAAGCTTTCCACCTTCTCCACTGCGGTTCCGTCGATGTGGATAGGGGGGTTCTCCCTCTGCTGTTTCCTGAAGTCCACGATCATCTCCTTTGTTTTGTTGACGTTGAGTGAGAGGTTATTTTCCTGGCACCACACTCCCAAAGCCCTCACCTCCTCCCTGTAGGCGGTCTCGTCATTGTTGGAAATCAAGCCTACTACTGTTGTGTCATCAGCAAACTTGATGATTGAGTTGGAGGCGTGCTTGGCCACGCAGTCATGGGTGAACAGGGAGTACAGGAGGGGGCTGAGCACACACCCTTGTGGGGCCCCAGTGTTGAAGATTAGCGAAGTGGAGATGTTGTTTCCTACCTTCACCACCTGGGGGCGGCCCGTCAGGAAGTCCAGGACCCAGTTGCACAGGGCGGGGTTCAGACCCAGGGCCTCGAGCTTAATGATGAGCTTGGAGGGTACTATGGTGTTGAATGATGAGCTAAGACTATGAACAGCATTCGTACATATGTATTCCTCTTGTCCAGATGGGATAGGGCAGTGTGCAGTGTGATGGCGATTGCATTGTCTGTGGATCTATTGGGGCGGTAAACAAATTGAAGTGGGTCTAGGGTGACAGGTAAGGTAGAGGTGATATGATATTTGACTAGTCTCTCAAAGCACTTCATGATGACAGAGGTGAGTGCTACGGGGCGATAGTCATTTAGTTCAGTTACCTTTGCTTTCTTGGGTACAGGAACAATGGTGGCCATCTTGAAGCATGTGGGAACAGCAGACTGGGAAAGGGAGAGATTGAATATGTCCGTAAACACACCAGCCAGCTGGTCTGCGCATGCTCTGAGGACGCGGCTAGGGATGCCATCTGGCCCGGCAGCCTTGCGGGGGTTAACATGCTTAAATGTCTTTCTCATGTCGGCCATGGAGAAGGAGAGGCCACAGTCCTTGGTAGTGGGCCTCGTCGGTGGCACTGTGTTATCCTCAAAGTGGGTGAAGAAGGTGTTTAGCTTGTCTGGAAGCGAGACGTCGGTGTCGGCGACGTGGCTGGTTTTCCTTTTGTAGTCCGTGATTGTCTGTAGACCCTGCCACGTACGTCTTGTGTCTGAACCGTTGAATTGCGACTCCACTTTGTCTCTATACTGATGTTTTGCCAGTTTAATTGCCTTGCGGAGTGGGTAGCTACACTGTTTGTATCCTGCCATATTCCCAGTCACCTTGCCATGGTTAAATGCGGTGGTTCGCGCTTTGAGTTTTGTGCGAATGCTGCCATCTATCCACAGTTTCTGGTTAGGGTAGGTTTTAATAGTCACAGTGGGCACAACATCACCTATACACTTCCTGATAAACTCAGTCCCCGTTTCAGTGTATTCGTCTAAATTATTTTCGCAATCTACCTGGAACATATCCCAGTCCGCGTGATCTAAACAATCTTGAAGTGTGGATTCCGATTGGTCAGACCAGCGCTGAATAGTCCTTAGCACGGATACTTCCTGTTTGAGTTTCTGCCTGTAGGAAGGGAGGAGCAAAATGGAGTCATGGTCAGATTTGTTGAAAGGAGGGCGGGGGAGGGCTTTATAAACATCCCGGAAGTTCGAATAGCAATGGTCGAGGATTTTAGCAGCGCGAGTACAACAGTTGATATGTTGATAGAACTTCGGCAGCCTAGTCCTCAAATTTGCTTTGTTAAAATCCCCGGCTACAATAAATGCAGCCTCAGGGTATGTGGTTTCCAGTTTGCATAAAGTCCAGTGAAGTTCTTTGAGGGCCGTCATGGTATCGGCTTGAGGGGAGATATACACGGCCGTGACTATAACCGAAGATAATTCTCTTGGGAGATAATACCGTCTGCATTTGATTGTGATGTATTCTAGGTCGGGTGAACTACAATTACACTATGAGTTGTTAATCACACACCTCCACCCTTCTACTTCCCGGAGAGATATTTATTCCTGTCTGCGCGATGAACTGAGAACCCATCTGGCTGGACAGATTTCGGCAGAATATCCCAAGAGAGCCATGTTTCCGTGAAACAAAGTATGTTACAGGCCTTGATGTCTCTCTGGAAATAAATTATTGCCCGGAGCTCATCAACTTTGTTAACCAGAGACTGAACATTAGCGAGTAGTAGACTTGGAAGCGGTGGGTGGTGTGCGCGCCTCCTAAGTCGAACCAGCAGGCCGCTCCGAGTGCCTCTCCTCCGCCGGCAATGTTTTGGGTCAGCCGCTGGAATCAGTTCAGTTGCCCTGGGAAGAGCAAATAAAGGATCTGCTTCGGGAAAGTCTTATCCCTGGTTGTAATGCTGGTGAGTTACCGCCGCTCTGATATCCAATAGTTTTCCCCGGCTGTATGTAATGATACAAAACACTTTCTGAGCTAATAATGTAAAATATTATATTCTGGAACGTTTCCTAAGAGCTAGTCGCGAGACCGCCATCTTCGTCGGCGCCAGGTACTGCCCGTCGGCGCCAGGTACTGCCAACAGTCTTGAAGGAGTTCCCACATATGCTGAGCACTTGTTGGCTGCTTTTCCTTCACTCTGCGGTCCAACTCATCCCAAACCATCTCAGCTGGGTTGAGGTCAGGTGATTGTGGAGGCCAGGACATCTGATGCAGCACTCCAACACTCTCCTTCTTGGTCAAATAGCCCTTTCACAGCCTGGAGGTGTGTTGGGTCATTGTCCTGTTGAAAAACAAATGATAGTCCCACTAAGCGCAAACCAGCTGGGATGGCGTATCGCTGCAGAATGCTGTGGTAGCCATGCTGGTTAAGTGTGCCTTGAATTCTAAATAAATGACAGACAGTGTCACCAGCAAAGCACCCCCACACCATCACACCTCCTCCTCCATGCTTCATGGTGGGAATCACACTTGCGGAGATCATCCGTTCACCTACTCTGCGTCTCACAAAGACATGGCGGTTGGAACCAGAAATCTCTAATTTGGACTCATCAGACCAAAGGACAGATTTTCACCAGTCTAATGTCCATTGTTTGTGTTTCTTGGCCCAAGCAAGTCTCTTCTTATTATTGGTGTCCTTTAGTAGTGGTTTCTTTGCAACAATTCCACGAAGGCCTGATTCACGCAGACAAGATTATTTAACAATAGCTTTGGAAATTAAATTATATCTAATGCATACATGACATTAACTCTACTGAACTCTACTCAACTTTAATGTTCAAGACAATTCTTACCTTGGTCAGTCACACTGCACGTTGGTGGCACGCTAAAGACAGCGCTAGATAGCCAGCTAGGTAGCTAGCTGTGTTAGCAAGCTCGACGAAAACTCTTGTTTGCAGTTGAAGAAATTATCTGCTTCCTCTATCACCCACCAGGTAATAACATATTTTAATTCAATGTTATGAATGTCCCACTAGACAGCACGTACCGAAGCCCAGCTGAGCACTGAGGTGGAGATGGCTCTGTGCGTAACGCCCGCTCAATGTCCGCGTCCACCGCCCACACCACCGGTGCCACAATGCAGGAGGCCGGGAGTTTGGGGGTGTTATCAATGGGCCTCTCCTCTGTGTCGTACAGCCGTGACAGTGCGTCTGCCTCCACGCTCTTAGCGCCTGGTATATAGGACATGTAGACCAACACACCGCGACCAAGCATGTCCCGAAACACCTCGTTCACAAAGGACTGGAAGACTGATGGAACATTCATCAACCCGTACGGCATCACCAGGTATTCACAATGCCCCGTGGTGGTGCTAAATGCTGTCTTCCATTCGTCCTCTTCCCGGACACGCACCAGGTTGTACGCACTCCTGAGATCTAATTTCGTGAAGAAGCGCGCCCCATGCATTGATTCGATCACAGAGGAAATGAGGGGTAGAGGATAACTATAGTGAATTGTAATTTTATTAAGTGCACGGTAATCAATGCAAGGGCGCAGACCCCCGTCTTTCTTCTTCACGAAAAAGAAACTTGAGGAATTGGGTGAAGTGGAGGGACGTATGAACCCCTGACGCAGGGACTCGGAGACGTATGTTTCCATAGCCTCCGTTTCAGCCTGCGACAGGGGGTATACATGACTCCTGGGCGGTACAGCGTCTAACCGTAGGTTTATCGCGCAATCCCCCGAGCGATGGGGTGGTAATTTGTTCGCCTGCGTTTTGGAAAAGGCGTGCGCCAAATCGAGGTATTCGGGGGGAATGCGGACGATGGAGACATTGTCTGGACTTTCCACCGTGGTCGAACCAACGGAAACAGCTAGACACCTACCCTGACACTTTTGCGACCACCCCGTGAGAGCACTCTGCGGCCATGAAAAGGTGGGGTCGTGTAGTGCTAGCCAGGGAAGGCCCAACACAACAGGGAAATCAAGGGACTCAATAATATGAAACGTCATTTGCTCATTATGGGTCTCCTGCATAATCATAGTGACTGGTGCTGTAACCTCCCTAACAAAACCTGACCCTAATGGTTGATTGTCAAGTGCTTTGACGGGCAATGGAATAGACAGGGGAACCAATGTAATACGTAGACTAAGAGCCATAAAGTTCCCAGCTGCACCTGAATCTACCAACGCCTTACACTGGGGAACTACCGTTTAATCAGGGAAGTTGATGTGGATGGTTAAATGCACAGCAGAGGGCTCTGAACAAGTGTGGGTTTGTGCTACCTGGGGTGACGCGAGAGTGCCCTGTCTGTCGCCTCCAGAACCAGAAGAACTCTGACGACATCGTCCAGGAGAATGTCATCTTATGCCACAAGAGTGACACTGGATCTGTCGTTCTCCGTTCTCCCGGAACGCTGCACCACCCAGCTCCATCGGAACGTGAGCCGGGGTGAGGGGGGGTGAAATGGGCAGGCCCCTTCCAGGATGTCCTCTCGAAGCTAGCAGGTTGTCCAACCGGATGGCCATGTCCACCAGTTGGTCGAAGGTCAGAGTGGTATCCCGGCAGGCTAGCTCCCTTCGGACGTCCACACGCAGGCTGTATTGGAAATGGTCGATGAGGGACCGCTCGTTCCACCCGGACCCAGCCGGTAGGGTTCTAAACTCCAGGGCAAAGTCTTGCGCGGTCCTTGTCCTCTGCCTCAGATGGAACAGACACTCGCCCCCCTCTCTTTCTTTGGGGGGATGATCAAAGACTGCACGGAAGAGGCGAGCGAACTCTCCGTAGTTGTCCAACACTTCTCCTCCTTCACTCCAGACCGCGTTGGCCCACTCCAGGGCTTCCCAAAGAGGCAGGAGACGAGGGCGGACACCTTCTCCCGATCCGATGGAGCAGGGCTGATGGTGTTGAAGTAGAGGTCCAGCTGCAGGAGGAAACCCTGGCAGCGGGCGGCTGTCCCGTCGTATTCCCTCGGTAGAGACAGGTGAATACCCCTGGTTGCTGGTGTGTGGGTGGCTGGATCCGGTCGCTCAGCTGGTTCCGCAGGGTCGGATCCTCTCTTCTCCAGGCGCTGGACGGCCTGGAGAACCCCATCCATCACGTCGCCCAAGCTGGCTAACATGGTGGAATGCTCCCGGATCTGCTCAATGACTCCAGACATATTCCCCGCTCCTGCTGACTCCATGCTGTTTGGGTAGGGCGGAGCCAGGCGCAGGAGGTGTGAATCATAGAATAGGGTTTATTAGCCAATACAGTAGTCCGCAGCAATGCGTAAACCAAATACAGTGCGACTTAAATACGTACTGGGAAAACAAAACACACGGGTGAATATCCCGGCGATAAAAGTAACATAATGCTCAACACGAGCTAGCGACACCTCCACATGGAACAATAACACACAAAGACATGGGGGAGCAGAGGGAATAATTATACAGAGACTGATGAGGGGATATGTACCAGGTGTGTGTGAAAAACAAGACAAAACAAATGGAATGATGAAAAGAGGAGCGGCAGTGGCTAGAAGGCCGGTGACGAAGAACGCCGAAGCCTGCCCGAACAAGGAGATGAGGCAGCTTCGGAGGGAGTCGTGACAATTATGGGGTATTGTGTGTAGATTGATGAGGGGAAAAAAACAATGTAATCAATTTTAGAATAAGGCTGTAACGTAACAAAATGTGGAAAAAGTCAAGGGTTCTAAATACTTTCCGAAGGCACTGTATGTACCTTTATTTTATTTATTTATATATTTGATAAATACATTTTGACAATATATTTAAATATATTTATATTTTATTGAAATATATTCCAATATATGATTAACTTTTTAACGTAATAAAAATTTATTTATTTTTGTAGAAATGCTACATTTTCACATATGTAGACACTGGTTTAGTGCTGGAGATAATGAATATGAGGTTGAAAAGTGGTGGAGTTTCCCTTTAAATTCCGTTTTTTTATGTGGATTTATTACTGCAGCAGACTTCTGACTCTTCTCTGTTTGTTTCCAGATGTGTGCAAGACCTTTGGCAGTGGAGTCGTCCAGACGTTCAACGGAACGGCATTCTACGTCCGCTCCACCTGTCCGTTCACCCTGACACGTTTTACTCACAACCGGGTGGACTGTGACATCACCGTGCATCGAGGTAAAAATGGCCTACTGGACTATATCGAGATCAACGTCAACAAGATCCAGACCCGGATCCTGTACAATGGAACCATCTTCGTCGAGCAGAGAATGTTTGTGCCTTTATTTACTCTATTCTATTTGATTATATTATAGTTTTGTTCAATTCTATTTAATTATTTACTCATCAAAAACAGAATACACATAAAGGGGTAGTTGCAGAGTTCCAGATATTTTTACTTTTCATATAAAATCATGCATAACACAGTTTAGGAGTGGGTCTTCGAGATCCAGATAAAGCCAACTGTAAAGCTTGATTTAAAAGTATGTTCAGTGGATATACTGTATGTATCCTGTATTGAATGTGATTTTTAATCCAATGCGCTTAATCGTGGTCTGTGAAACTGGCAGTTACACTATTACATCAAAGCAAGTGATTACATTGAATAGTGAAGTGTCTGTCCTTGCTTGTAACTGTAATTATTGGTAATTACATTTTAACTTACATAAGCTCCTAGCTCTAGCGGAAATAATGGATGGATGAATCTGGTTACCTTCAAATGCACCAAGATGATATTACTATAGTCTCTTGCGTAATGCAGTTACATACATCATTAATCTGAGATCTCTAGCATGACCAAGTTATTAATTATATATTACACCAAATATTAGCTAAAGAGTGTCCTTCCCTTTTCTTCACACCGAGAAAATATACAGTCTAAAATTATCATTAACCTTTTTGGCATTGTAACAATTTTCTTGTAATGCCATTTAAAATGCCAATCAGTTGTGCTATAAATCACTAACAATCATGATTAATCAATGATGGGGAAGATGATGATGATGACGATTGACTATGACGTGTTTGTGACAGGGTGTCCCTTCCCTACGATCACACCTATCAACACGTGTTCCAATATGGTATCTACACCAAGCTGAGGAGCACTGTTCTACCTCTGTCTGTCATCTGGAGCAGTGTGGGCGTGGGCATCGACTCTCTCTGGGTGAGTGATCCATAAACGGCTTCAAATACATTGTTGTTACCTATTATTTGATCTCTCATGACATCCTTAACAAAGTTGATTAGGTTCCGGGTGCCGAGATGACCTATTATTTCATACATGATTGATTGACTGGTCCCTGGTCTGTCCTCTAACAGGTGAAACTGGAGCAGGAGCTAGTCCGTGGAATGACTGGACTCTGTGGACGACCAGATATACCAGGTCGATTATCTTAGAAACATATTTTTTGTACTTCTAAATATATATATAAACACTGTATATCAATTTGATGCATTTGTATTGTACATATAGATTGTCTAATTAATCTTACTTTGAAATTGACCATCGACTTGATGCATCACTATTTGAGAGGTTCAAAATGCAGTATGGAGCCAAATACAGTGAACAACCTCTTGAATATCAATTGTCTGGACGCTATCTACACTTCTTGCTGTTAGCTGTGCGCTAACTACACTTCTTGCTGTAAACTGCGCTCTAACTACACTTCAGTGTACTAACTACTCTAGATTTTCCTGCAAAATTAGATGACCGTCAGCGATTGATTGCAGAGAGTGTTCTTTCAAAGGACGGGTGCCAGACCATGGACTCCCTCCGCACTGAGAGCATGGTACTTTTGCTTAATTATGGTCTACGTCCCAAATGACACCCTATTCCCTATTCAGTGCACTTCTGTTTGACCACTATTTGGGAATAGGGTGCTATTTGGGATGTGGACTGCCATTTCAATCTGGTGGTAAGGTACTAGTATCACTTCTTGGGATCTCTGGTATTGTGTGCTTGGCCTCAAGGTTATGGCTGGTGAATAACACTAGACTTCTGGTGAATTGTAATGAATGGATTTAAGACATAGAACCCTGCAACTTTATGGCAAGTCTTGATGTTAACAGTTCTATATAGAATATGCCATATTGCTGTAACGTAGGTTATATTGTTTTGAAGTCTGCAGTAGTGTTTTACAGTATGATGTACAGTATGATGTACTGTATGTATTATGTATTATTTAATAGGTCTGCCAGAAGTTCTTCTCCAACTACATTGAATGTATGAAGGCTGACACAGGCAAATACATAAATCTTTGTAAAGAGAATATTTACGGATATGAAAAAGAGCATTATGTAGGATGTGCGTTCTACAAAGAAATTGCCCATCAGTGTCAGACCAGCTACGCTTGGAGGACCTTGACACGCTGCCGTAAGTAGATCAGTTCAGAAAAAATCTAAGTTTATAAAAGCTGTTAGTTTATTAGATAGTTTATAAATATGTTATGAACAGTTATAACACATTCTATTGACTATTAATCTTGTTGAAGTAATTTTGTTCTAAACAAATTCTTAAAGACTTGTGTGTCTGTCTGTTGTAATACAGCTGAGTTCAGTTGCCTAGGAGACCTGCACTTTGAGGAGCAGGGTGATGCGTTTGTTTCCACCTGTTCCAACCCAGCACCTAGAACCAGTGATCAGGACATCACCAGCACCTGTGTCTGCCCCCAAGGTAGGGCTTACACTGTCATCCGGAGAAACACTGTTTCAAGTGTAGGCTAAAGTGTAAAAGGTTTCTTTAAAATATTAATTGTAACTGATTCATTGAACAGACAATGTCTTAGCAACCAGATATGCACTGCTTTTAAGATTACCGTCACATATTATGCAACCTGCCGGGAGACAATTTTGAACATTATCTTTAGTGTTACAATCACATAAGGTTGATGAGGGTTTTAAATGGCTATGTTTCAGGTCAGGTACTGAACGATCGAGCGGAGGGCCATGACTGTGTAAGTGTGACAGCCTGCCCATGTGTGTATGCCGGGAGGAACTATGCACCCAGGGAAGAACGCAGAACTAAATGCCAGACCTGGTGAGAGAATCAGAACTCAGGAGTCTCAATGACAACATATTCCCTATGTAGTGCACTACTTTGGACCAGAGCACTATGTGGTTCTAGTCAAAAGTATTGCACTAGACTATATGTTGAAAAGGATGTCATTTGTGAACTAGCCAGACTTCTCATTGAATTTGTCAACTTATTGATTTAGATTCAGAAATACCGTAACATGATACTCATGTATTTCTCTACAGTGTGTGTCACAATGGCAAGTGGACATGCTCTCAGAATAGCTGCCCTAGAAGGTGTGTGATTGAAGGGCAGTTTGTGACCACATTCGATGGAAAACAGTATGCCCTTCCCGGTAAATGCACATACATGGCTTCTAAGGTAAATCAATAGATTTTCATCTCACAGCACTATGGTAATTTTGAGTTATTCTCATACAGTACTTTCACCCAAAGTACTAACTTCTCTTATTCTTTATGATTGAAATAAAACAGGGTTTTAATTGGACGATATCCATTCAGTTTTCTGAAAAGACGTCCTCTATCCAAAAAGTGGTTCTTCAGATTTACCAGGTACTCTAAGTCTGCTTGTAACTTTAGCTTCCCCTTTACATTCAAAGTCTATGTTTATGATAATCAACAACATCTAAAACACTTTTTTGTTTATCAATGACAGAATACCTACACATTCTCTCACAAAAGTGTACAGTTTGAGAAAGAGGAAATCCGAGACCTACATCAGTCAGACAATGCCATGGTGTTCTGGCAGTCATCCATGTATGTCCAGGTACTGACATCCTTTGGCATGAAGATCCAAGTGCAGACGTCTCCAGACCTCCAGCTTTATATCAGTCTACCACAGAGTGAAGTTGGGATGCCAGAAGGTACTTTGCTTTCATCATTATAATGGTTTTGCATCATATATTATAATTATATATGATCATTATAATTATATGTTATCATTAGCATATCAGAGTTTAAGTCACATTGACTGAATCCTGTGAATATTAAAGAAACAAACAAATTATGTATAGGTTATTACTGTGTAATTACCATTTTGTCATGTATCTGGTTATTTCTGTACTGTAAAATAAAGTGGTAACGTTTTTTTGTCTACAAACTATCCTTTTGCAAGGACTTTGTGGAAACTACAATGCCGATACCACTGATGATTTCAACACAAGCAGTGGTATCGTAGAAAATGCAGCGGAACCGTTTGCCCTGTCCTGGAGTGTAGGGGACTGTCCTGTTAACATACCTAAAGTCTGCATCAACACCGACAACGGTAAAGTCCCTCTGACTTATCATGACTTAAAAAAGAGGTTCTCACATACATTCAGTTGGTTTTCTATGAAGGAAATGAATCAGTTTGTTTTAATAACTACATGAAAATAATACATATAGTGACAGAATTACTTTTACATAGCATTATTGTTCTTTTCTGTTGGATACATTACATAGTCTATATGACTTTAAGAATGAGGGGAATGTGAATGCGTCTTGCAATACGACATAGAAATGCAAAAATCCTAATTTTGTTTTTGTGTTTCTTAATCTAACATGTGGACGATTACCTCTCAGAAATATTTGCGGATGAGAACTGCCACCCCTTGAGAGACCCCAGCGGGATTTTCGCCAAGTGCCACGATCACGTGTCCACTGACAACTACCACAAGGCAAGGATTTACTAGTACCCACACTTCTTGTGAGAACTTTTTATACATTGATTAAGGTCAAACAAAAATATATATTTTAATTGGTATTTACCTTGTATTTAACTAGGAAATGATGATGTAACAATGTTTTGTAACAATTTGTCACTTGATGTTTGCAGGCTTGTATCCAAAGAACATGTAACTGTGGGACTGGGCTGCAGCAGTGTTTGTGTGTGGCCCTGGCAAACTATGCCAAAGCCTGTGCCAACCAGGGCATCACAGTGGGTGACTGGAGAAGGGCCACCAACTGCAGTGAGTAACACCCATAGAATCAGAATAATAGAATGGACATTAACCTTCTTATGACGGTATAAAAGGTCAGCCATTTTGGTAAGGGAGTTGGTAAGTCAGTGGTCAGCCATTGCTGTGATAAGATATTGTGTAAAACAATACATTTGAATATTTTTTACACTGTATGTTTGTTAGGTGGAATGATTCCAATAATTTTTCAAATTAACGGCCAACATTCCATACGAACAATGCGGTCAATCCATAGCCATACACTGGCTGAAATCAGTTTGTGATAGGACTTAGACAAGTAAATGCAAACAAGTACTGATATTGTATCATATAATAACACTCACAGCTTTCCAAGAAAACAAACATTGAGACATTTATGGTCTGTTTACATATATTTTAGAGGCTTTTTATATATGAAAATTGGTATAAAACCTGTGTAAACTGTATTTAGATGACAATATTTTATGTTGATAATAATTATATTACACAATTTCTGATTTATCACATTACTTTTATTTTCCTGCATAAGTAAAAGCAGGAAATGCATCAACTATGCCTCTACTGCCATTCATTCCAATTAGACTGGTTTGGATTTCTCCCTGACCACAATGACTGCCATTTTCATACCATTCTGGAACTTTGAGAGTTTATTACATAGGTAAGGGTGACTAGGGTGAGCAGGTTATTAGCGATTAGAGTCACCCTGTTAATGTTTATTAACATTAATGTCATTTTGGATTTCCAGCGGTATCGTGTGAGAACAATCAGAGGTTTGACTACGAAATGCAGGCGTGCAACAGCACCTGTCTCTCCCTATCTGGGCCAGACCCCAGGTGTTGGGTAGAGGATGCACCTGTGGAGGGCTGTGGCTGTCTGGAGGGCACTCATCTGAACGGGGGGCTCACCTGTACCCCGAAGGCCCAGTGTCCTTGTCACCATCAGGGAGGAGTCACACCACCAGGACCTGTTGTCATCGATGGACGACAGTGGTGAGTTCCTCTTACATACTACTTTATGGAGGTGCCATTACAGATGACAATGTTACCATGAATAATTTTTCTGACTCTTGCACATGTCCAAAAAACAGAGGAGATCTAGTCCTATAACGGAACATGTTACTGTTTGTTGGTATTATTATTAATACATTTATTTGAACAGGGACAATGTACAACAAAACATAAGTCTCAGTATACTTGAGAAAAGATGCGTTGTACCAGATTGATCCAACAGCTAATTTCTGTCTGCAGTCCCCGGGCAGGGTAACATACTGTACAAACATGAAAAAACATTATATATGAAAAGACAACATAATAAAAAGCCAGAGGTCAGGTCATACAGATACGTTTCCACACAGAAGTCAAGACATTGCACATAATAATCAATCATCGGAAACATTGCTATTGGACTTATGAGTTGTAAAAACACATAGTAAAAAACAGCTGTTCTTTTAACTACTTTTTGTAGTCACACATTTTACGTTTTCTGGAGGTTGGTTCCAGTGTTGAACAGCTTTTACAGAAAATGCAGATTGGGCAAAAGCTGTTCTACACACTGGAACTCTACAGTTTCCATTCACTGCTCCCCTAGTATGTGACCCTATAGATAGTCACTTGACTACTTATGGGTTGTGGAGCAAGTCCATGTAAACATTTAAAAAGCAGCTTTACAGTTGAACATTTACAAAAACAAATAGAAACGTAACAAATTGTGTTTCTTAAACATGTTAAACAATGGTGATGAGTATTCGGTTTCTGATCAAAAACTTTTAATGCACGCTTAAACAGAAATTGCAATGGTTTGATTGTCGTTTCTCCTGCTTGTGACGAACTTGTAATGTAATAGGACATGTAAGAAAATATCATCGCATGCATATAAACCTTAGCAGCATTAGTGTTAAGACAGTTCCTTATATGTTAAGGAAGTCAAGATTTTGCTAGCCTGAGTTAAAATACCTCACGATAAGCGGCATTTGAACATATAGGTTATGGGGCGGGCCGGCGAGGTAAGTAAATGATCTTGAAACAGGTCTTGGCAGTGGTGGTCAGCTAGTGAAGAGGTCCCTACGTAATCACGTCACGTAGCCTAGGCTAGTCGTCTCCCTACTGAATTTGGAACTGAGGGAAAGCCAAATAAAAAATGAATAAGAAAAGGCAATCAACTTTGATGAAGTTTGTAAAGTCCAACAATCCTGAAAAATATGTTGAATTGAACCCGAAATGAGCCAGAGAACTGTCAGTGCCGGATGAGAGGAGTGAGAAGCAAACTGCTCCTAATGGCGAATGCCTTAGCTAGCAGCGCTGCTTAACCCGCCAGTTCAGCATCACCACCAGCACCTCCACTAGATAGTAGGCCTACTAGCGAGTCAGACTCGGCGGGAGAGGCGGACGGGGGGGCAGCTCAGTTCAAGACCAAGCAAACGTATAACCCCTGGCTTGTCAAGCAAAATTCAAAGCTGGCTGTACAACATGCAAAAAGGTAGGGAGTTTGGGCCAGGAGAAGACTGGAAGGATGAAACTAGCAAAAGAGTGGGTGGAATGTACAGTAACATCCTCTGCGTCCGATGTAAAAAAGCAACAAAGAGCCCTCAAAAAAAGGTTTTTGAACATGCCAAAACCAAGGCCCATTTAGCACAAGCAAGCATTGTTGGCAAGGCTAAAGAGGACACCTTAACACAGGTTGTAGTTAACGCTCAAAATAAAAACATAGACACTACAGCCAGTCTTCCGAACAGCTTACAAGGAGACTAAACGTCACATACCCGCTCACAGTTTTGAGCAAGAACTTGACTGTCAGGAGATAAATGGACTTGACATGGGGAGAATTCTCCATTCCAATGTTGCTTGCTCCAACATACAGCAACGTATTTCATCTGAAATGTACGAAAACTATTTGAAAGAATAGTACAGTGCTCTCCAAAATCAGCCTAATGCTCGATGAGGCTACTGGTTTGAATAAACAGAGGGCCTTGATTGTATACATTTTTGTTGATCTTGTGGAACTGGAGGATTTATCTGCTGGGGCAATTGTCCGTAATCTGTTATCTGCATTATAGGGTGTAAAATTTACTGAGGACTTTCTCTACAAAACCCTCATTGGAATTACGTGTGATGGTGCGTCTGTCATGCTGGGACGCAAGAGCGGAGTAGCAACAAGGCTCCAGGCCCTCTTCCCTAATATAACTGTTTGGCACTGCTCGGCACACAGGCTTGAGCTCGCAGTAGGTGTTGTGGTAAAAGATGATGGGAGCTATCAATCATTTAAAAATACTTATGGACAAGCTATATGCGCTTCATAGCGTATCTAACAAAAACAGAATGGAGCTGAGGGAGTGCACAGAGAGTTTAGACATTCAGCTGTGCAAAATCGGCAGGATCTTGGACACTAGATGGGTGGCATCCAGTTTTAGAATGGTAGAGTCTGTGTGGAAAAATTACCCGGCTCTTCACAAGCATTTCACCACAGCAGCTGAGGATGCCTCCCGCGACGGCGTGACCCATCAGAACTATAGTGGCCTTGCCATGCGCATATCCTCGCATGCGTTTGTTAACAATCTAGGACTTTTGTGTGATGCACATCAAGACTATCTGAACTGTCACTCGAGCTCCAAAAGAGAGACTGCACAATTATTACTGCACACATGGCAGTCACCAGGGAAGCGAGGGTGTTCAGTGCAATGGCAGAGCAGCCAGGCCGACACACACAACTCAGCCAGAGAGGGATTCAGGAGAACTCTTTCCAAGGCGTCAAACTGAATGGTTGAAGACCCAGCGACAGAGTCCTTAATCAGAGGGAGTTTTTCGAGAGCTTGGTGAGGAACATGGAGGCTAGAATGTTCTCTCAAGGAGGACGGGCAGTGGACAATACAGGATACAGCCAGTTCATAGAGGAGCTGAAAGTGCTTTACGTGCAAAACTGGCCTGGAGGACGCAGGAGCACTGTATGGAGAAACAGAGATAGAATCTCTCTGCCAGCGGTTTGGCATTGACAGTCCACATATGGTCATACGGGCCTACAGGCAGTACAGAGACACTAATGGTAATGATAAAGGAGAAATTCCAGACTTAAAGAGCTGCTGATGGCAGTCAGCACCATCCCCATCTCCAGTGCAGAACGCGAGCGGGGATCTTCTCAAATGAATCTGATTTGCACCTCAACCCGCGCCTCTCTGCATACCTCCACCATATCAGGGCTACTCTTTCTGAACCTTGTTGGCCCACCCCTGACCAAATTCTACTCAGTCCCCTATGTGAGGTCATGGATTGATAAAGGACACAGATGTGTCACAGACACCAGGAGCAAAACAAGAAATAGGGAGGAGAAGATGCACGAGGAAATGGCTATGTTGTAGGAGGTTTTGGAAAACTAAGGTAGGAACATCTTTTTCCTTTACAAACCTGTTCTGTACTGTGAAGTTAATCTGAATATGCGCTTCATATTATCAAATAGGCAGGAGGCCTATATATTATAATATGTGTTCTGCTGTAGGCTACATTGATTTATTTTATTTGAAGTATATTCTGATATCAAATCAAATTATTGTGATATGTTTGTTCTACTGTTACATTGATGTCTTGAAAAGTATATGCAATTTGAGTCTTGTAAGCCCCACAGCGTATGTGTGCATATGCATATGGCGGGTGTTCTGCAGTGACACCAAAAAATGTTGCTGTACATTTATGTCTTGAACATTTGGCTATAAGAAATTCAGACTTGTAAGCCCCACAGCTATACTAGAGGAAGTGGACATAGTATATGTTTGAGACCAACAGGTGGCCGAGGCGTGACGGTGGCTGTGTGAGAAGCGCGCCAGTATCTCACATAACTAGAATGAGATTCACTTTCTATGATCGCTCTCCCTCTCTGCTCCGATAGACATGACCCTGAACTCTCATCTCTCAAGCGTTGCACTCAATCATTTATTTAGACTCTATGCTGTAGGCCACCAACATATTTGATCAACTTCCAAATATTGCTTTACTAAAGAGAGAGAGAGATAGACTTTTGGCACGAGTGCAGCCATCACCAGTGAGTGAGCTACGCATCATTGGGTGAGTCAGTGAAACTGGAAAGCATTTTTAGGACTATAATTTCCTCCTCATAATCCCAAAACCGCCATAAAAAAGCCAGACTACGGTTTGCAACTGCACATGGGGACAAAGATCGTACTTTTTAGAGAAATGTCCTCTGGTCTGATGAAACAAAAATAGAACTGTTTGGCCATAATGACCATCGTTATGTTTGGAGGAAAAACGGGTAGGCTTGCAAGCCAAAGAACACCATCCCAACCGTGAAGCACGGGGGTGGCAGCATCATGCTGTGGGGGAGCTTTGCTGCAAGAGGGACTGGTGCACTTCACAAAAGAGATAGAATCATGAAGAAGGAAAATGATGTGGATATATTGAAGCAACATCAAGACATCAGTCAGGATGTTAAAGCTTGGTCGCAAATGGGTCTTCCAAATGGACAATGACCCCAAGCATACTTCCAAAGTTGTGGCAAAATGGCTTAAGGACAACAAATTCAAGGTATTGGAGTGGCCATCACAAAGCCCTGACCTCAATCCCATAGAAAATGTGTGGGCAGAACTGAAAAAGCGTGTGCGAGCAAGGAGGCCTACAAACCTGACTCAGTTACACATGCTCTGTCAGGAGGAATGGGCCAAAATTCACCCAACTTATTGTGGGAAGCTTGTGGAAGGCTACCCGAAACATTTGACCCAAGTTAAACAATTTAAAGGCAATGCTACCAAATACTAATTGAGTGTATGTAAACTTCTGACCCACTGGGAATGTGATGAAAGAAATAAAAGCTGAAATAAATCATTCTCTCTACTATTATTCTGACATTTCACATTCTTAAAATAAAGTGGTGATCCAAACTGACCTAAGACAGGGAATTTTTACTAGGATTAAATGTCAGGAATTGTGAAAAACTAAGTTTAAATGTATTTGGCTAAGGTGTATGTAAACTTCTGACTTCAACTGTAC